CGCGCAGCCAATCACATCTCTGCGCGCAGTCACGTACACTAATGCTCCACCCCGTGACATTGCTCACTGGGGGGAAATCCCTAAATTGTGCTAGTCTCCTAACCAGCCTACATGTTTTGAACACTTTCGCCACAATACATATGTAAACTGTTAGTGGAGTAACTGAACATCAGCCACTCCAGACCAAGTTAACATGCAAGTTAACATTTAAAAATTTGCTTTCATTCTTATAGAGTACAACTGAGATGGCAGAGGGAGGTGTGACCGATCTAGTCTTGGATGAGACTCAGAAGGAACTTCAAGAATGTCCCATCTGTTACACTGAGTACAAGGATCCTAGGATGCTAGACTGCTCACACAGCTTCTGCCTGAAATGTCTGCAAGAACTCAAACTGACACAAAATAAGGACGACAAGAATATTGTCTGTCCGTTGTGTCGAAAGGAAACTGCCATGACTGAAGCTGGCGTGGACATGCTACCTGGAGGATCAAAGGATGTCAATCAACAGGAACAGACTGAAGGTCAGGGGTTAAAAGTCATGTGTCAGGTATGTGATGAGGAAAATGAAGCCATTTCTCGATGCATGGATTGCAAGCATTATCTCTGTCAAGAATGCCAGAAGGCACACAATCGAATGGCAGTTCTGATGATGAAGGATCACAAGATTGTGGCTTTGACAGAGCTAGATGTTGAGTCTGAAGAAATAACTGAGGATACTGAACTCAAAAAAGTCCCCAAGTGTTTCAAGCATCCAGATCAAGATCTCTGTCTGTATTGTAACTCATGTGAAGTCCTCATATGCAATGAATGCACAAACATTGATCACAAAGAATCCATACATTCTCACATCAGCATCGACCAGGCGGTCAGCAGATGTAAACAAGAAGTAAACGAATCCATATCTAAAACAGAAGAGTGCATTCAAAGATTCATTTCTGCCAACCCCTCTTCAGGTCATTCACGTTTCAGACTTGACAGGATGCTGGTAAAAACGTACTCTCAAATTTCACAGAAAGCAGAGAAGGAAATTGCCAAAATCAGAGATAAAGAAAAGCAACTCAAAACGGAAGCCAGGGACATTGCCATTAAACGAGATACAGAATTTGCATACGCAGAAATGTCTGAGCAGATTGTGGGTAAAGTGAATAAAGTGATGACTACAGCAACGTGCTATGAGATCCTGGAGTCCAAGAAGAAAATGCTGCGGGATTTGAATGAGCAGGTGGAGGTGCATAAGAGTTTGGATATCAAGCATGAGAAATCATTCTTTGGCTTTAAGGAGAGTGAAGAGGTTGGTCAGCTTGGGACTATGCTCTTGGAGGAGAAATGGGAGAAAGATGAGACCTTTTCAGAAGAGGTGTTTGGCAGAGACTATCTACATACAGCAGCATACTTCACAAATGAAATTGCTGTGGTATGCAGTGATAAACTGGTTACACTGGATCCAGAGGGGAAGGTGATTTCTACAAAGACCTACAAACCTGACCCTGATAAACCAAACGAACCCCATGACCCTAATGATGTACAGAAAGCAACAGCTCTAGCCATCAACAAGGATGATCAACTTCTGATCCTAGACAATCCTGCAGTCAAGATCTTCAACAAGGAATACCAGCTCCTTCATCAGTTCCTACCGGGTAAAGAGGCCGGCGTGGACGGCACACCAACGTGTCTGGCAGTGGACAGCAGCAATCTGATAGCAGTGGGTTACAAGGACAAGGAACAGATATCTCTACACAACCCAGATGGTTCCCTCGTCAAAACACTGCCTGCTCCAAAGATTGATGCACATTTGATCTTCAGCAACAAGCGACTTATTTACACCAACAACAATGAGGGTTTGCTGATGGCTGTTGACTTACTCAGCAACAAACTGTTTAATCAAAGTTGCTCTTCTCCTGGTGGGCTGTGTTGTGATGATGCAGGTGATATTTACCTTTGTGAGTCAGGTAACATTGGCCATTTCAGTGCAGATGGCAAGCGCATCGAGTCAGTGTCCAGGTACACTACTTTTGCTTGTTTTGCTGTTACATGTACATACACACCTGCACATAAATTAGTAGTCACAGTAAAGGATTCAGGGTTAGGCATGTTAGGGAATAAAGACAAACCATATGTCATGCATGTGTATCACTTGGTTTGATGACATTAACCAACATGAATTCAGGCAATTGACACATAACTAATAGGCAAGCAATCAAATATTTATTTTATTACAAAAGTGCTATCAGGATCATTACAATTATATAGTAAGCTTTTGAATGCAACTTCACGGACAGGACAGACTTAATCATTTTTGAACCAGATTTTTTTATTGGATTGTGAGAATATGTCTAGTATAGAGTTAGTATACATGTAAATCATACATAGCATTTTGTACCTGACTACATATGGAAACGCTTGTCCGGTTTTGTCTCCAAGGGGCCTACGATATAGTCACCAACTTTTTTGATAAGAACTTACTGTACAGTACAAGCAGCTGTTGCAGAAAGCTAATAACCCTGACCAAATTACTCGCATTTTATTGAACAGTGCACAATTTCTGATGAATGATTCTGCAATTTGAGGTTGGAAAAAACATACGGTCCCCACAGACCATTCCGAGCACTATCGCTGTACATGCATGCACACTGTACTGGTACATTCACAAAGGCCCTCTTTTATGGCAAACATGGCAAAAGCATTCAACAAAGCAATTGTCCCATGACTGATAACAGTGACATTCTGAACAATAGCTGGCATAATGCTTTTGCCATTGAAGGGGCCTCTGTGTTAAAGTGCACAGTGACTGCGTGCTCAGAATAGTTTTTCGTTTGGGGAAAAATGTTGCAACCTGACGCAACTTCAGCGGTTGTGTACAAAGTCTATGGAGAGTCAAGACAATTTTTAAAGTATTTCCTAACTAAATTGGAAATGTTTCTCAGTCCCAGATTCATGTCTTATCATCATTTTTGCAAAGACTGACCTTCATTAAGATGAAGACAAAAAGTGGCGTCAGGTTGCAACATTTTTTCCTTCATTTTTACTGAGCTGGGTTCACACAAACAAAATTGAAAAACTATTATGAAGAAAGATGTGTTTAAGATTAACGACTGATGTAGCGTGTGACATAATGTACAATGTTACATTGTACATTGGTAATTTTGAGTTTAGCATGTAAAAATTACTTTAAAATTTTGTATGCAAGTAATTTGTCTGTTTAACTCAATTGTACGTACACTCTAAATGTATGCCTCTAAAAATGCTGCCTGGTTGAAATAAAAATGTAGAAGACTAGTCTATTTACATGTACATGTATCTGCTCAGTGTTGCTGGACTTTAACATGTACCTATTCACTCAGAATTGGTGTAAATGCAAAACAAGTACATGTACAATTCGGGCGATTCACAATGCCGGGCGCCACCAATAGTTTGCCACGGAGAGTTATTTTTTCCCAGTGCATTGTGGGAGATGGTCGACAAATTCGCAGCGCGGGACATTTGAAATTGTTTGTTTTTTCCGGTCATTAGTTTCGTAAGCGTGTGATTCGAGTATATGTTTGCCCTATTCTTTTCTTTGTACATGTATCAATATGGTGATTTTTGGTAAGGCGGATGAACGCTCTGCCCAAATCTGTAACAAATTAGCTCAAGTGTCTACTGACACTCATTCAAATGGGCCATATTTTGACGACCGTAAACTTGAAAAGTTGACTGTCCATGGCAAACTCTTGGTGGCGCACTGCCTTGTGAATCGCCCGAATTACAAAAAAAAAAAAAATTTAAATGTGCCCATTTGCCAGTCAACCAAGTTTAATGCAACATGAGTAAGTTAATTCATTCCTTGTTTATAGTGGGGGAGTGTACGTGGCCTAGTAGTTAGGGTTCGTGACTATCATGATCAGAGGCTAGGAGTTCGAATCCAGCTGCTGGTCATAAGCTGTGTCCTTGGGCAAGCCACTTCACCCCCATGGGTACTCACATTATACATGTAGCTTGGGAGTAACCTGTGATGGACTCATCATGGACTACATGTAGCATCCCGTCCAGGGGGAGTAGAAATATTCTCAGTCGTTTCATGCTATATGCAACCGGAGATAAACGCCGGCCTGATGGGCCACATTGGCTCAAGACAGACTTTACTTTACTTATTTCTTAGTAAGCCCATATCCAGCAAGGGGGGGGGGGGGAGTATTTTTTTTTTTTTTTAAGGAAATGAATACACAGCATCCCACCCTGAACTGCATGTTATCTACATGTACCTGTAATCCTGTATGTTTGCAATTTTTATTAATTTTTTTTAAATGGAGCCATTTTTGTTGAAACTTTTTACATTTTGCCCCATTAATTGACCGAAAACCTGGACATATTGGGGAGGCCTGGTCGCCTGGACCAGTATGAATGTAGATGTTGAGTCCATTTGTAAATGTGAAGTTGTACTCAATAAATACACCTTAAGCTTTTGCTGGAAAGTGTATGGATTTCAGTTCCACAGCACTCTTCTCTTGAAGCTAAAGTCCATCATTTGCAGCTATCCGAAAAGTAACTGGCGTAATTATTGTTGAAAAACATACTTGGTTGAAAGATAGTAAGGGGACTAAACTCCCTGTGAAATTATTCTTTCTGACAAGCTGTCATTTTGAAGTAATCAACGAAAGAAGGCATTTCCAACGGCGATTCTTAAGAAGCACCGTAGGAAAATTTAAATTAGTAGTTCGTTTTGTTATTCAGCGCAGCGCGCACAAGTATTGGAACGACGCACACGCGCGCGCGGTTGTTGTAATTCGTCGGATCAGTGCGCGACGTTGCGTCTAGCTGCAATTCAAAACAATTCAAAACATGATTCAGTAACTTTTGATTTGAAATTGAAATCTTAGAATGCTGTTTTTCTCGGAATGTACAGCTGAAGCTTAGCTGAAACTTCATCAGGTTAGTTGTTCAGTATCCTTCATTAGATTTTGAACTCTTTTGTTGCTTCAAACGAACAAAATACTCAAATTACAAATGATGGACTGTAGCTTTAAATGTGCCTACCTGCATTATTGATCAAAGTATCAATGTGCGATTCCTCCCGGGTGATTTGCTCAGCACATTTCCGCACGGATTGCAGGCTTGCAAGGTCCAGGTGACGGTACAAGATCTCGGGTCCTTGAGGTACCTTCTGCTTGATCTCGCTGATGACTTGGGCCGTCTTTTCTTCGTTCCGGCAGGCGAGAATGAGACGCGCCCCTCGACGGGCCAGACCCAGGGCGGTGGCCTTACCAATGCCAGACGAGGCTCCTGCAAAATGGAAACGTGGGTTACACTGAACTAAAATGTTGATTAGATCAATTTATTAAATTTGTTATTAATGAACTCAATCATGTCTATGGAAACTTGTAAAAAAAGAGCACCTATCATTGACATTAAAAATTTTTTTTTTAATTTTTAGATAAAAACATGAAAAATCACCCCCAAAAGCTAGAAAAAAAGTTAGTTCAAGTAACTAGGACTCTATGAATCGCCTTTTTTGACATTTGAGGATGGTCGGACTATAGTGGGGTCCTACATGTTGGATCATAAAGTAGATGGCATTACCAATAACCTTTTTTGACCATTTTTATTGTACCCCCTATCAAAATCTTTAGATTTTACCCCAAACCCCTCAAACTGTTCACATACCTTTGAGAAGAGACAACTTTCACCTTCAAATTTTCCTGAATTCAAAATAAAAGCCTCAAACAAGGCATGAGCCACAAGGATATTTCCTGAATTGAAGGTGAAACTTCTCTTTTCTTCCCAAAGGTAGGGGCGCATCAGGCAGTTTGAGGACTGTTTTGGGGGTGAAATTTGAAGATTTTGATAGGGAGTACAAGTAAAAATGGTCAAAAAAGGTTATTGGTAACCTTGATCCTAGGACCCTACTTTCGCCCGACCATCTCCAAATGTTAAAAAGGCGATTCGTAGGCCGAGTTCGGGCGGTCTGTTTTTGACCCAGATATATTGTTCTGGCACTCGAACCGTGGGAACACGACCCACAAACACTGCACTCGGAACAGGATCACACACCACCTACATTTGTATACATTTGTATTTCAGGGTTTTGCAAGAACAATATATATACCCGCGTCAAGAACAGTCCGCCCGAACTCAGCCGTAGAGTCCTAGTTACTCGGACTCGGAAAAAGCCCAATGTAGGTTGATCCTAGACTCCTAGTCCGAGTAATTAGGACTCTACGGATTGCTTTTTTAATATTTGGAGATGGTCGGGCGATACTATCGCCCGACCATCTCCAAATGTTAAACAAGCGATCCGTAGAGTCCTAGTTACTCGGACTAGGTTGATCCCCAGAGTGGCTACACAGCCAAGGAGTGAAAGTGTGTCGGGGATGGCCAAAAGAGGTCTCCTTTTATGAAATTTTTTTCCAACACTAAACAGTCAAAACAGTGCAGATTTGAATGGGGACAATACTGGCACGACTGGGGAAGATAACATTTACAGCTGGAGTGAGAATTAAGGTTTTTATATTGAGGGTGATCAACCATAACTGTAGCTGGCTACGAGCGGCCGGGGTTTCTTCAAATTTGAGCCATTTTATTTTACTCACTGAAATGTAAATTATTAATTAAATATTAAAAAAGTATTAAATCTAGCCCAGTTTTGGGGGGGTCATTTGCAGGCAATATGGCTATAAAACGCAGCATGTTTTGGAGGCCTACAACAAGTTACTTTAATTTAAACATGTACTAGAAAAAAGTATATCAGGCTGTCAAATTTTACATTGTCAACTAAAGTTGTACTCCCTGAAATTACTTCTTTCTGCCAGGCCAGACTTGTCGTACCTGTTATAATTATTGTCTTGCCTTTCATTGACACACTGCTGGAAGCGACTCGGTACCGGAGAACGAACCAGTAATAAACAAAACTCAGTAGACACATCACGGCTAAGACCGAGCCGATGACAACCAGCGCGACTGCCCAATCTTCCAGCGCCATGATGATGCTGTCACCGTTAACATGTCCCGCGTCGTCTGCTCGACCTGTCGGTCCCGGGCACGAATCTCCACTTTCACCTGTGCCTTTGTAAGCTACTCCGTGGAGTGCTTCCCGATCCTCCACACATTCCATTATTGGACAATCGATATTGTAGTTGTACAGGTACTAAAAAAACTGCTGAACAACCTTCATCGCTGCACTGTTCATTTGACTTCGTTATGTAACTTTTCTGTGTGCCGCGCAGTATGCATAATAGGCCGCGCCATGCCACCAGGCACGTGTCCCAAAGAGCGCCCTCCTTCGTTCAAGTACGTACATATGGTGGGTGGGTGGGGAACAGGCCTCAACCTTGGGAGGGGGGGGGGGTGTCTACCCTTAGGTTCCTGCATACCCCTCCCCGCCCCGCCCCGACCAACACAACCCAATCCAAAGACAGTAACCCATACAGAGAATCAATAACATTTATTTTTATTCCTCAAAGGTACACCAACAACCACTCATCCACACAACCCACCCAAATGAACTTACAAATACTTAAACAAAAGAGAAATCAAGTCAAGTAAGTCCAAAAAATATGTAAAAACTGGGACCTTTGAAAAGTAAGTGTGTAAGCAACATCCTTGGGGTGGGGAGAGGGGTTGGGTTAGGGTGGGGTGGGGTTGGGTTGGGTTTGGGTGGGGTTGGGTGGGGCAGGATGGGGTTGGGTTGGGGCAGTTGGGGCAGGTTGGGGTGGAGTGGGGTTGGGGTTACAGAATTGTTGAATGAAGTATTCCACACACAACATATAGAGCCAAGGCCTTTACTTTTAATACACACACGTACATGAATAAGAACATTAATTTGTACACCCCAAGTAATAGATATGCTCCGATAGATATACTTTTTAGAATAACTTTTACATAAACACACTTAATATTAAACAATTGGCTGTAATTTTTTACAGTATGAAATAGAATTGATATCAGATAGAAAGAGTGATTCATTAAAATCATTAGAAAATAAAACATTTCAAACAGCTGCAAACACATGTCATTAGTACAATTTCAAACAATCGCGACACAAAAAATGGGGGAAAACAAAGAAGATATAATTTCAGCATTACAATTAACCATAGATTTTTACAAGACATCTTTCTCCAAGCAAATACGATAGACATTGATTTTTTTTTTATATAAATTTAAATATTTACATATTCACAACACAAAAAAGTACATTATATATTCTGTATTCATATAATACTGTTAGAAGAATAGACTGAATATACTCCATTGTTATTTTCAGTGAAATTTTTGAAGCCAGAATATTGGTTATAAACACTATTCACAATTGTGAAGCCACCATGACAACTGCTAATAATACTCTTCTTTTGTATAGCCATATCAAGGTTCATCTTATTTACAAATATTCAGAATTCCGCAAGCATGAATTATTCTACCACTTGTTACATACGTCACATTTTCACGACAAGAAATTCTTAGCAGAATCATTGAAACTGAATGATTTTTACCGTGGGTTCTTTCTTTTTTTATGGCAATAGTAGATCATTTGCAGCTACCAAAAAAGTAACTGATGAAATTGTTGTTAAAAAGCATTCTTGGTTTAAAGATAGTAATGGCGCTCCCTGTGAAATTGTTCTTTTTGACATGCTGTCCTTTTGAAGAAAACAATTATAAAGAAGGTAAATTTCCAAAGATGCATCTGAAGTTAAAACGCATTTTGTGAAATTTTCGTTAGTAGTTTGTTTTCAACCTGGCAAACCGTGAATGGGTGCACGCAAGCGTTGACATGATGCACACATGCACGGTTGTTATCAGTTCAGTGCGTGACATTGCGTAGCACTAGCTGCTATAGGCTGAATGAGAACGTGTCCCGGATGCTGATTCTGGGTGCAATTCAAAATGTGACTCGGCAACGAATTGAAATTGAGATCCTAGAATATTGTTTTCTCGGAATATACATGCACAGCATTCTCTGAGCTAAAACATACACCGGGTTAGTTGTTAACCATCCTTCCTTAGATTTTGAGCACTTTTGTTGCTTCAAAAGAAAGAAAAATGCACAACCTACAAATGATTTACTCTACCTTTAAGCATACCCACAATGATACAATTGACAGATTTTTTGGGGTCACTGTTGTTCTGTTACATTTTGGGAGCTCAATTTATCTAAAATTACTTCAAATGTGAAAGTGAAAGCATCCATTCCAAATAGCTTTCTCACTTTCTTTTCAATTAAAAAAAGGTGTTTTTTTTATGTAGCATATTTATTTTAATTTTGTGATAATCTGCTCTTACATGTAGGAATCTGTGGAATTTTTTTGAGGAAGGCCATCAACGACATTCTGATTGTGGATCAATGCCAAAGTTGAGTAGAACTTCTACACTTGTATACAATAGGATGGCGTGGACATCAAGGAACTTCTGAAATCTATAAATCTCATTCCCAGACCCATTTTCATAAAACTGAATGGTTCTCGAGTGGGGAGCCTGGAGCCGAAGGCAAAGGGTACTACACATGGCAACCGTTGAAAATGCATGTGTTATTGAAAAGATCTTTTCATTGGCTCGGCTACACCACCCTATTGAGGGAATTCTGGGTTTTGTAAAATTGCTCTCACAATTCTTGAACTGATTCTTATACTGCCTCACTGATCACCTAAGTACAAAAACCAGAGCAATTGTACTGGACAAATAATATACAAAATGTACAAACAAATGAACAAATTGATACGTGGTATCACTCTTCATGATTTTTACATCTGCACACTTTACAAGTATGCCACAATTTGGATTTTTTTACAATAAGATTTTTCATGTTCTTTTGTATACATGTACTCTTATTTAATATTTACAATGTACAAACAAAACATGGTTTGAGGGTGGATAGTCGATATTAGTATCCTGAGATATTGAAAGTTGACAGGCAAGTTCCCCAGGCAAAGCCGAGGGAGCTACTGGTTATCTGTCAACTTCCATTATCTTCAAGTAAACTTGAATCCTCGATCCTGATTGGTCGATCCATGGCAACAGGCCGTGCTACATATAACCATGTAGCACGGCCTCGGTTCATACCGCACTCCGCGTATTCCGCTTTTCTAAGATGCGAGCGCCATTCCGTACAACACGCACGTGCAATAGGATAACTGCTGAAAAGTGCTACAGCGTGCGTGTTCCATCTTTACTGTGCGTCAAGTTTGCTTGAAGATAAATTCGTTATCACGCTCGCGCTCGTGGAACACGGAAAATGTAGTGCGCCTGTGTCCCACAAACCACTCGGCCGTATGTGGGACACAGACGCACTATTTTATTCCGTGTTCCACTCGCGCTCGCGGGATAACTTATAATACCGAGAGGAGTTAATGTCGACTATCCAATTGAAATAAACCATATTTTACTTTACTACACCTCATACATATTCACCACAATTTTGTCGAGTAATGCATCACTGCATCAGTTTTCTTGGCAAAACATTGCTGTACGTGCGTGTGCCCCTATCTTTACACAGAGCTAGGGGGATGTTTGCACATGTGCACTTCCCCCATGCATTAGTTCCATGATTGCTTTGTAGAGCACATGCATAGTACACAAGCGCACGAGTACATGGAGTAGCCCGTTTGCTAGTGTACTTTAACCTGTGCGTGAAACCTAGTGGGCGCCATTGGTAAAGTGCAAAACTAGCTATTGAGAACACGTGATGGTGAATGGACCAATGGGAAATCAGCTCCCGATCATGAATATGTATGAGGTATAAGAATATGGAATAATCCAAGTTCGCCATTGCTATATTGATTTTGGCCGCTGTTGGGATGCTACAGTGTGCAGGGCAAATCACACACACACAACACAAAATCTACTCATCTTCAAAGACATGTTTTAAACCTGACAAAAAAAGGCACACGCGGTGTCAGTTTTCTGTGATGTGCACTTGAGCACAGGAGCATCCAAAAAGAGCATCCCAAAATGGTCCCAGTGTCCCAGCAATGGCAAAATTCCAGCAATGGGAAAATTGGGTTATTCTACAAACGTCTAAATGGAGATATCTTCACAAAGGATTGTCTGAAACATTGAGTTCAATAAAAAACCTACTTGAAGAGGACAATTAAAGGGCATATACAACATTTGCCAACATCAGAAAACAAAACTACCAAATTATCACAAAATACCTTACTGGACTGTTATGACATTCTAAAAGCATCCTGTAAAATCATGGCACCTGGTGTGCTGTCAGTTTCGAGAAAAGTGGTATTTTTGTATCAATTTCCAGCGCTGGTCGGCCAACCAGCGTTGGAAAAAACTGTTTTTTTTTTTCTCTAATACTGCCCCAAATTTACCATATTTAGTTAGTCCGCATTTTGTTTGCAATCAATTACACACCTACGGTACATGTATAAACGGGTACAAAACAGGTACATTGGTTCCCTGACCTTACAATTCCTGTATACTCCATTTCATCATACTTGGGGTCAGGGAACCAGACTACAGTAACAAGACTGTTTTCTTGATTTTTTCCAGCGTCTTCAAACACAAAACTTCAAACAAGTCAGGGTAACAATATTTGCTATAAAATACTAACCCCAAACCGATCCATTTTTTGAAAACTACAGCAAAAGCAAATGTTGTATAGTCACTTTAAGCATCACATATGCCTCTTCAGATTAAGTTTCACTGAGACAATACCGTACCTCAGCTAGTTATAAAAATAGTATCATAATACGTATTGTATCATTAAAATTGCTAAGTTTACATCCCCAATATTCATACTATGTACAATTGTGTGCGTAATTCAGTGAAGAACTCATTACTAGTTGAAAATGGAGATTTTATATCCAAAATGGCATTTTTCACTTCTTAGTTATGTTTAAAGGGAATGTACATCATTGGCTTTCGCTGCAATTTTCAGAAATGAACTATTTGGGGGTTAGTATAATCGATCAAATATTGTTACACTGACATGTTTGAAGTTTTGTGTTCGAAAATGCTGTAAAACCAAGAAAACCAAAAATGTTCAAGTAGTCTGGCTCCCTGACTCCACTATAGACGAAATGGATAAAAAATGCCGGACAATTGTAAGGTAAGGGAACCAGTCTAGCTGGCCGGCACCCGTTCATGAACATGCAACCAATAGAAAACAACATTTGGTCTGAAAAAAAAAAAACCCGGTAAATTTGGATGAGTAGTTGAAAAACAGTTAGGTTTTACAAAAGTACCATTTTTCTTGAGAATGACTTCACACCAGGTGCCCTAATTTTACAG